TATATGAAACATGGTTAATAAAAAGCTTCAAAAGCTTTTATTTTTCGTGTTTATACTAAAATTGTTCTTCAAATTGATTAAATTATTTTATCTTATTTCGTTTTGATCAAAATGTTCATTTAATTTGATATAAGATAAACTTGTTTCTCATTAAATTATTTATTGTGACTCATATGAGCCTAAATATGATGGTTTTGTGTAGATATAGGTTAGGTTATGTTCAAATGTTTCGCGCACTCACCAAAATCTATGACCAACAGATGGCACTGGACTTAATTGTATCTTTTTCTTTTATTTTTCAATTAATTAATTATTTTCTAAATAAATTAATGTAACAAAAACCCAGCTGTATACGAATACAACGTTGTATCCAAATTTCAAGACAATCGATAAAGTACTTTTGTATGTATGTAAAGATAAAGGTTAGGGTTAGGTTATGTTCAAATGTTTCGCGCGCTCACCAAAATCTATGACCAATAGATGGCGCTGGACTTACCTGTATCATTTTCTTTCATTTTTCAAGTAATTATTTATTTTATAAATAAATTAATGTAATAAAAACCTAGCTGTATACAAAAACACAACATTGAGTCACAATTTTCAGACAATCGGCACAAACGAAATCTACATTTATATATATATATATCTTTTAAACAAATGAAAATAAAAATAAGAAGAAGTAGAAGTAAAGTTAAGCGAATAACTCTATTCTACATCAATTGAAAAGCAATTGAATTCAATTAACGAATTTTGAAAACTCAAGCAAGCAAGCAAACAAACAAACAAGCAAGCAAGCAAGCAATTACGATTGCGAATGATATCGATTTTCCAAGAGATCCTCGGGGTTTTAAATCGTCGAAAAACTTTCCATTTCTCTTACATCCTTATTCCACCATCAACATGGATATAAAATAATAGGTAGTTGGAAGAAAAAAATAAAAAAAATAAAAAAAAATGGGCAAAGAAAGATATAGATCCGCAAAAATCACTCGAATACTTCAACATCCAAGAGTAAATCCGACCGAATGAAAGAGAATACAGGGTGGGGGAAAGGAGAGTAGGGGAGGGGGCAAGATAAAAAGCTTCATGAACTCGAGAAAAGCTCTCGGATAAAAGTATTGAAGCTTTGTATCCTATCCTTGTTGTCTAAAAAAAAAAAATAAAAAAGAAAGAAAAATCCATTAAAAATGTTCATAGGTCAACGTACGAGAAATTTTACAAAATACGAACGAAAAAACATAGATTAACGAATAAGCAGATTTATTTTGCGGAAGGGGGAAGGGGTGTAGTTTAAAAGAAACGTAATATATTAAATATTATTGAAATACAACAAGGGTTTTACATATATATATAGTTACAGATCGTTTCAATTAAATTTTGCAAAAGTTAAAACGAGAACAACGAATCCGTCATTCGATATCCGTTTAACTCGTTTCGCATTCAAAAGATGGAATATAACCATTATTTTGTGTCTTTCTCTTTTTTTTTTTTTT